GTCATAAAACATGGGAAGGGCGTTGCACAGCAACAATGTGAGGACCACTCCCTCTGCATGACAAGGTTTAAAAAATGTTGGACAGAAGGACATCTAGATGCAATAGCACGCAAACATCACAACGGGAGAACAACGTACATTGCCCCATATTACACGCGGCGCGGTGGCACATGCGTGTAGATGCTCTCCCGAGTTCACAAGGGCCTCGTGGTACGTGACTGCTTCCGTCACAAACTTTGGAGCGTCATTCCCGGATAAAGATTCCATGTCGACACCAGAGTCAAGTTCAAAGTTCCTTTGCTTGAAATACCGGTCGGTATAACACACAATTCAATGGCATAGCCGAAGAAAGGGGGGAGGGAGGAAATTGAAGTTTCCCCCTTCATTTTTTAAAATTTCGCATATGTATATATACACGAACACATACAAATGTACTCACGAACATACATAAAGTATTGTTACCCCCCCCCCCCCTCCTCTCTAAAAAAAAAAAAATTTTTTTGGCTACACCTCTGCTGCTTAGACGAGTCAAATTCGCAGATTTCCTTCTGAAGAACTCACTCGTCGGTAGGCTTCGTCGGTAATAAATTCGATATTGCGTCAGGTCGTTCACGAAGAGTTACATTGATCGCTGATTCCCGTCTTGTACGCAAAGTTTCGTTTATTCGAGTTGTGGGATTCGCATAACTTTTAAATTTGCAAGGGCATCTATCTCTGAAGTTCGAGCTGCCATTGCATTTGCTAACATCTCGATTATTTTCAATATTGACCAGCGCTTTTTATGAACTGTTCGTATGCATCAGGATGGTTCGTTATAACCATGTATTGCCCAAACACAGTTTGGCGTGAAGCAAATCGAAAACAACTAGCTCACCACTGTTCAGGCTGTGTGGAGGACGATCGTGAGAATGTAAAAATAGGTTTTTTGACCTATGATCTAATTAGCATATTATTCAATAACAATTAGTGATTGGTGTAATGAACCATTTTTAATCTTCTCGTTACCTAAATCAGCGCTCTAAGGTACGCAATCAAAACAACGGATCGATATATACGTGTACGATACGTTAGGCATTACAGTGTAAACCGAGAATAGATAGCAAACGTAATTGTAGTGAGAAATGGTATAGGCGAAGAGGTGACAGCTCAGGCACAGGATTACTACTAGTGAACATTTGTTTTGTCACTGTCAACATATTCCGGTCGTTACCCTTGGTCGAAGTGACTTCCCATCGGTAAAAGCACGGCATGCAGTGAGCGGCTGTATCAGTAAATGCTCAGGGACCCTTGTTCACGTGCGCACAGTGGCCACAACGTAGGCATCGCACACGCAATAATACGTAAACTGTCATGCGTTGCCTCCGCATATATATACGTCTCTTCAGGGTGTATAAAATGGTCGCTTTTCTGGGAGACCCACACTTGAGGGGAAGCTTGCACCAAACAGTTTCACTGTTTATGTCGGAGGCTCCAAAACTCTAAGCTACCTATTGGCCAACAAACTAGTCTTGATTTATGCAAAAAATGTGGCCACGACAGTGTACGCGAGCGAAGTCAAGAGCTCTTTCTCCGCGTTTAGCTCATGGCTAAGTGGTTTCTTACGGCTCCGTAATGGCAGAGTGCAACCTAATTTGTATTTGTGGTGAACTGCTTGTCGCAACTTAGATTAAGTGTGACTTCTGGACATTTGAGGCATAGCCTATGCCAGATGTCTACCCTGTATGTTCATACATAGCTCGCCATCGCTTCGAGCACAGCGCTTAGGGAGCAAGTTATGCAAGAAACTCGATTCGCGTAAAGTTATGCACGTCGTGGAACATGGTCCCAATATTACGCAATACATTATTTTGTGACGTGATATATATAAAGAGTTAGGGCATTTTAGGAAAGGTGTCACCTGAAAAGTCTATCGGGACTGCATAACCGTGCTAGGCGTTCTGTTACGTTTTGCTTTGTTATAAGATAGTTCCGAAAGGTCCAATGCTATGCAGTGCTTTACTTCAGTAAGTTGCGAGAATCTGCCGTTACTTTCTATGCTGCGTCCTTACTGCACGCAAAAAAAAACAAACTTAATTGAATCGCGTGGATAAACAAGCTAAAATTCATACACTGAGTGGTGGCTGTCTCGATTTCCGTTTTATCAAGTTATCACTTATTAAAAGATCGCGCACACAATCATATTCTCTCCCAAGCATGAACGCATGCGTTTATACAAAAGCACATCATTTGGTGAGCTGTCATATCCGTCAGTGTTCGCAGTTACCAGCCGTTCAAGAAGAAATAGGCACCGAAGTGGCTTAGCTGCAATGACAACACACAGCGAAGCACGTGGTCACGGTGTCGATTCCCTGCTACTGCTATTCGGTATAGGTGGAAATGTAGCAACAGTCATGTACTTAGGTCGGGTTGAACTTCAGAGAGATAGGATGTCGTTCAAAACATCGAAAATCAAAATGACGAATTTCGGAATGTCTACACCAAAAATGTCGACTCCGAAAACACCGAAAATTCAAAAAGCTGTATTGAGAAAAATAAAAAAAATTTGAAATTAAAAAAATAAAAACTCTGAGACATTGGAATAGAGTGTTTCACACACGCCGTCATGGCTGGTGACACTGACTGACACTATTACGTTTAATTCACATATACACCCAATAAAGTGGATGGAGGGATAACCGACGTGGTAGCTCAGTTGGTAGAGCCTCGAGCACGTTATTCGAACGTCACTGGTTTGGATCCTGCCCACGGCAAGTTATGCTTTCATCCACTTTTCCTTCTTCACATTACCGTTACAATTCGGTCTAATAACTTCCCCTGTATACTTTACTTGGCCTTATTTTCTGTTAGATCTTATTACTATTGTGTCAAACACGCAATAACTAGCCCTTAAGTATACACTTCTTTCCCTAATTCATTAACGAGGGTCTCGTACTGGCATACTTGGTACCTTTAGTTTGTTTATGAGGGACTGCTGGTCAGCTGCCAGCTCGTAATAAGTTCACGCGCTACGTTACGCCCAATAGGCTTAAAAAGAGTGTGCCACACTCGCCGCCATGGCTACTGGTGGCGCTTACTGACACTCTGACGTTAAATTCACGTATAAACCCAATAAAGTGGACGGGGGGATAGCCGCCGTGGTTGCTCAGTGGTGAAGCATCGAACGCGTTATTTGAAGGTCGCAGGTTCGGTTCCTGCCCACGGCAAGTTATCTTTTCACCCACTTTTCCTTCTTCACATTCACATTGCAGTTTGGTATAATAACCTCCCCTATACATTCCTTGGCATTATTGTCTGTTTAATCTCATCAATATTGTGTCAAACACGCAATAATGAGCCCTTAAGTATACACTTTTTTCCTCTCTCTCTCTCTGTCTCTCTCTGTCTCTCTCTCTCTCTCTCTCTCTCTATATATATATATATATATATATATATATATATCTGCATAAGTCTTCAAGCCGTCGCAGGGTGACTCTTTCTTTATGGCATGTAACACAAAGAAGTTGTGTCCGATTCCTTGTAGAAAGCTTAGGCATCTACATCATACCGGAGGCCCATAGCAGCTGCCAAACGATTTCCGCACAACCCCTGCTCTTGCCCCGTGAGCGGCGGGGTTGGTCTCTAATCGCTCCCTCGACATTGTCTTCGATAGTTTGCTCCGTTTTCGAGGAGGTGAGGATCTGAAAGAACATTAATTACGTGGATCACTGTATTTGATATTACTATGACAGTATTCTACAGGAAGGTTAGTGATATCACTCTGGTGTTGTGTTCCCCTCGTTTTTCACACCTCAAATAGAGTATAGAACCTACTTTCTCGTGAAATACATAAACGTAACCATCTCTGCAGATAAGGTGTAAGTTTTTCTCTTCTCGGAGCACACCATCACTGCGTCTTCGTCAATTTTCTTCAGAATAGATGAAATTTCACGTGGTTTTCGGCATGGCTCAACTGGTTGTCGGTGTTATATCTATTCGGTATTTCGTTTTTTTGGCATTTGATTTTTTAGGCATTTCAGCATTTCAGTATTTCTATTTTTCGGCGTTCTGACGGATGACCTTTTCATAATTTACCCTTTCAATTTCCGACGTTTTGATAGAGAACCAGCATGTTAGAATAATTCAGCCTCTTCCATCTCATCGCTACTTATAATCGTAGCATTATTTGGCACGTCGGGCTTTAGACATTTTTTTTTAGTTTTACAGAAGCCTAACTGCTTGCTTAAATGGAGAAAATTATTCGACTACAAACGGACGTGCCCAATACTTACAGGCATCACTAGGCCACTCTGATGTCCTACGTGCTGCATGCTCTCGCGACCACGTTGGCTATCAGTGTAATACATCTCCGACAGATTCGTATTACATCAGCGGCGAATCAGCGACATTATTTTGCGGTTAGTCACGCATGAAAGCTATAGAAGAACATATTAATGTTAACCCATATGTATCTTTCTGTCCTGCTGGCGACATCGTTCATGTTCAGCCACAACAACGTGATAGCCAACAAAAGTACATAAGTGCTGTTTACAACTACGCTCACCAGAGGCTTATTTCATGAAGACATGACCGAGCTGCGGCAGCGTATGTTTTCGTCGCTCGCATCATGTTAACGGTGTCCCAATGAATATTTGGCACATCTCAACAAAAGACCTCGACACCACTCCGCGTATCTTCAGGAGCACGGAACCAATGAGACGCACCATGCACCAGCCTTTAAAAACACAGAAGTTCGTGCGTCTTTACAGTCACAAGAGCGGTGCACTACCTCGCACACTCTAAGCACATACGTCGCAATGGCTTATGCAGCCACCATCTGCGATTGTTTTCTTAGGGAGGGTCTAGGCATGACTCAAAGCTGTAAAAAAGAGAGTCGGCGAAGTGAACTCTTCGAAAAACGCCAGCACCAGTAACTGCTACGAGACACTCCATAGAGACACTGACCAAACACCGGCAATATTGGCTTTGCGGTGGCTCTCTCGGAGCCCTGTAGAGCGATTTGATTAAACCCTGGAGTCCTCGTAGCGCTTGGGCTTGCCGTTTGTTTGCGCGGCGTCCTTGGTGAAGCGATAGCTGGATCCCGGCACGGCGCGCACGCTCACGTACGTGGTGTACGTATTGCAGCGGCGCAGGGCGGCCACCTCGGCGGCGGACTCCTTGCGCAGCGGGCGCTGGTGGCGCAGCCGGGAGGGCCAGCAGAGCTTAGAGCGCCGGAACAGCTGGCAGAAACGGTCGCGGAACTTCGCATTCATCCAACAGTAGATGAGAGGGTTGTACGAAGCGTGGCTCATGGCCAACCTGTGGATGATGAAGTAGACGTAGCGGATGTGTTCGTAGTTGTTCACGCCCGGGTCCAAATCCGACAGCAAGATGTAGGTGTTCAGGGGCAGCCAACTGAGCATGAAGACCGTCACCACCGTGATCATCATCTTGGTCATCTGCACAGTGAAGATAAAACGCAAGGAACACTTTAAGGCTCAAATGTTCAAGTAATTGATTGATACGTTGGGTTTAACGTCCCAAAACCACTATATGATTATGAGAGACGCCGTAGTGGAGAACTCCGGAAATTTCAATTTGCTTTACGTGCACCCAAATCTGAGCACACGGGCCTATAACGTTTCCGCCTCCGTCGGAAATGCAGCCGCCGCAGCCGGGATACGAACCCGCGACCTGTGGGTCAGCAGCCGAGTACCTTAGCCACTAGACCACCGTGGCGGGGCCAAATGTTCAAGTAGTTGAGCTGTATAGGGATGAAAATATCGAGAATATATAATGTTGATGATGGTGGTTTGATGTTTGGCAACACGCTTAGAGCACGGCGAATTGTTGTGGAGGTAGGCCGATATGAGAGTATAGGAGTGAAACGTAAATGTTGAAAGGAGAGGTCACATATTAAAGATATATAAGTACGCCGAGCACTGCAGGTTAGGTACACCTTTCTTTCCAACAGGGGCCCGGTGGACGCTGACGCCCTACCACATGACCACCGCTACAGTGAATAATGGGGATCGCAGAAGTCTGAGGGAGCTGCAGTCTCAAAATGTCTAAGATTGCATTCCTTCTTGCGGATATCACCGGCTTTATCTTTGTGCGATTTCTTACCTGCGGCTGGCAGGCATGCATACCTTACTGAGGTTCAGGTTGCTTTGGTAAATTTAGCGTTCTAAAGCGACTCGACCTATGAGACGCCCTAGTGGAGTGCGCAGGATGCAGGATCAACGACGTGTGCTTCTTCAACGTGCACGAACATCGCACCTCCATCCAAATGCGGCGGCCTTGGCCGGGATCAAAGTTTCGGGTGAGCAGCCAAGCACTGTATAACCTCTGTGCCACTGCGGTAGAATTACAGCCTTTGCACGTTAACAAGTACATATGTGCGTATTCAGAGCTATTTCAAGGCCCCAACTGTGTTCACGGTGTACATTATAGATGTAGCCGCGTGCGAAGCTTATTGGAATTAACTAAAATGAAAATACATGAGTAGGGGCTATTGGCGCTCGATCGACCAGTCTATAGCTTGCACTGTGATGAAACAGGAAAATGTCCATATATACCTGTATGCAACGCAAGTGTATTATATTTAGGAAATGTAACAAAGCAAAATATAAGCTCTGGCAGGACGTAAGGCCGTTGCAAGCTGTAACACATACCAGATGTTTACGCGTTTCAAAACTTGTTATGTGGCGAATGGAGGCGAAAAAATGAATTGTTCAAGAACTTCTTGCTTCAGTCCACGCAATATGTCCGACTACAAATAACCTTCCGTCAAGGGCGAGCAGCGCCTAGCTATAGCTTGCTATATGATCATCATCGCCATCATCATCATCATCATCAGCCTGACTACGTCCACTGCAGGACAAAGGCCTCTCTCATGTTCCGCCAGTTAACCCGGTCCTGTGCTTGCTACTGCCAATTTATACCCGCAAACTTCTTAATCTCATCTGCCCACCTAACGTTCTGTCTCCCCCTAACCCGCTTCCCTTCTCTAGGAATCCAGTTAGTTACCCTTAATGACCAGCGGTTATCCTGTCTACGCGCTACAAGCCCGGACCATGTCCATTTCCTTTTCTTTATTTCAACTATGATATCCTTAACCCCCGTTTGTCCCCTAATCCACTCTGCTCTCTTCTTGTCTCTTAAGGTTACACCGACCATTTTTCTTTCCATTGCTCGCTGCGTCGTCCTCAATTTAAGCTGAACCCTCTTTGTAAGTCTCCAGGTTTCTGCTCCGTAGCTAAGTACCTGCAAGAGACAGCTGTTATATACCTTCCTCTTGAGGGATAGTGGCAATCTACCTGTCATAATTTGAGAGTGCTTGCCGAATGTGCTCCACCCCATTCTTATTCTTCTACACAGTAAAAATTTTTACACCCAGAAGGGTGTAAATGAGCTTGTCCCGTAGACGACACCCTAAGGGTGTTAATTCAGCACCTTCCAAAAAAGGGTGCTTTACCATGCACCCTTAGAATAGGGTGTACATGTAAAAAAACTGTAGGGTGTTACAAAACACCCTTAAGGAAGGGTGCCTTCGATGTCCATCACTTTTTTAGCACCCTCTGAGGAGGGTGCGAGAAGGGTGCACAAGGGTGTTGAGTGCCCATGGCAGGGGTGGCGAATACTGCCACCAATAGATATCAGCATGCACTGATTAAACACTACTCGAAGAAAGTGGCCCTGATTATCGATGGTGCACCGCCTGTCGAGCTCCATTCATTGCGTGTGGGCAAAAATATAAACGCGTACAATCGTGTATGAACTTGTGCTGGATCTATATATACTTCAGTGTGTATGCATAATGCGCGTTACAGAAAATGCAGCCTTGCTGCCCTTGCATATTGCATTTATTTAATAGGCAAATAAAACATAAACTTTCTTCTGCCACACAACTTTTTCACCAGATATACATTCATGTATATGTACACTACACATGCAACACCTCAAATGTATATTATATTTTTTCAGTTTCACTTTATTGACAATCCTTTGCAACATACAATTACACTGGTTTCAGTTTAGTATACTGCTTCAAGTACATAGAGACTACAAATGAAATACACGCTAATATATTCCTATAATTCTTTCAAGTATCTACAATCCCAGTGGTTTCCAGTTTAATACTCCTTCGTGTACACAATCGGTTAATAGGAATGAAATACAGGCAAATATATACTTATGATTCTTTCAAATATATACAATCACCATGATTTCACTATATACGCCTTCATGTACACAATCGTTTCCAAGAAGTGATGCACACAAAAATATATATGGATAGTGTTTTCAAACGTATACAATCACAGTGGTTTAAGCTTTGTATTCCTGGATGTATAACAATTGGTTATGAGAAATGATGTACATGCAAACATATACGGGTTTTCGCACATATAACTTTAGCGAATACTTAAGAAACCAATACAATGGTCAGAAACACAATATGCTAAAAACGAAAACAAAACTGAGTCAGGACACACAAAAAACAACAGAGGTAATGCATAATTATGGCTAATGACACAGCTGGGTCACTTTATGCCAAATGTCACACCCGTATTGGCAACCATCTCAAATGTATTCGAGAAACTTGTGCTGCATTGAAAATGGTGAACTTCTGGAATATTTAGGAGAGGAAAAATATTTGGTCACGTGGCTGCCTTTTGAACTTTCTGGAATGCCGTCTAGGTGTTGTATGTGAAAAATTTTATTTCAAAAGCAACGCTTCTTCTCTCCATACGAAACTCGGTCTACGTGTTACGTAACAAGAGCTTAATTTGGGAGAGTTGGTTCATCGTGGTTGTGTGCTAGTCACAGCGCGACAACTTTAAGAAGAGACAGAAAGGACAGGAAAGAGCACAGACTGTCAACTGAATTTAATGAATGTGCTACGAGCGCTTTTATACGGAGTACAAGAACCGTGTTCATGCGCGACGACACGTGTGAGCACTACAAAATAATTTTAACTGTGAAAAGAATACTCCCTCTCAGAAAGGATAAGTGAACGTGTAGTGATGCACTGATCATTGGTTTACCTGATAAAAAATATTTCTACAAACGTTAAATTGGCATTAAGTAAACCTATTCTCGTGACGAATAGGGCAAGATTGACTATTCCTGTTGCTGTTTAGTACACACACTTTGAAAGCTTGCAAGGGGTGGAAAGCAACACGCTAATATCATATCTGCTGGCTATTTTTCTAGTTGTGAGACACGTGATGTGGTATAACATGCAAAGGTTTTGGTCATTGTTTTTTGTTGGTCCTGTCTTCTTTAACTTTACTTTCTGCAGGAGGGTTTTGCAAACGGGTGTGAAGATTCTGTTGGGATACCCAGCATCTTTTAGTCTTTTAATCTGGTATTTAAGCCTGACCTCACCCTTGTGCTAACATGACTTCTGAAGGGTGGCCTGAATACATGTGGTATCAATTCCTCTTTCTATTAATTTTGAATGTCCACTATCAAAAGGCAGAACATTCTTAGCACTCCTGGGCTGATAGCACCAGCCAATACCCCAACAGCATAATCACACTTGTTTGCGAAACCCTCCTGCAGAAAGTAAAGTTAAAGGAAACAGGACCAAAAGAAAAAGAGAATGACCAATCACCTTTGGATGTCACATGGTACTACGTACATAAGGTGTCTCACAATTTTAGGAATAGAGCCACCAGATATGACATTGTTGTTTTCCACCCCTTCAAGCTTTCAAAAGTGCATGTACTTACAGCAACAGGAATAGTCAATCTTGCACCATTCGTCACTAGAATAGGTTTACTGAATGCCAATCTAATGTGTATGAGATACCACTAACACGTGGAAAAATAAACATAGGACAAACTGGGCAATGCTTCAATGATCAAGCAAGACAGCATGCTTCAAATGTTAAGAAGGGCTATAGTAGTCTCATGGCCGGACACCGTAAAGAATGTAAGTGTAGTCCTAGATTTCATAAAAGACGGTTTTTGAAAAAAAAGCAAGCAGAAAAATGAGAGATTTTAGAACTCTTTATCAGGAAGGCCAAGGATCAATGCATCAGTACACCTTCACTTATCTTTTCCGAAAAAGAGTATTCTTTTCTCGGTTAAAATTATTTTGTCATGGTCACACATGTGTTGTTGCAGATGAGCCCTGGTCTTGTGCTCAGTATAAAAACGCTCGTAGCACCTTCAATAAAATTCAGTTGACAGCGGTCTTTCCTGTCCTTTTTGCGATAAGATTTTTATTACAGAAAAGAATTTCATTTTCTTACAGTTTAGGTATAATGATGAGTTTTCATTGTATCAAAACATGGAGCAAATTGCATCTCCATACGGACAAAAATCACGATTTTGTGAAATTCGTGATATTTTCTCGTATATTTCAGCAGCTTGAGAGGTATAAAGATATTTTTTCCTCAGAATATACCTTCTGTGGAGTAAGTAATCACTGCTCAGATATTCATACAAAG